CTGGTGTTGTTTGTTATAACCATCTTGAGCCGTTTGCAAAAGAACAACGTCTGTTTTGTGACGTCCTCTGCATTAACGTCTTTTCAATACTTTCGCAACAAGGATCCGCTTACTGAATGGTAAGGTGAAATATTCCTCCTGAATGCATATCTGCCTCTCCTACCGAACATCAGAAGTGATTCAGCTCCCACATGACAAACTCATCTGCTGCAGTAAATGACTTATGGTAAACCTAAACTGTACTTAAGATGGCCAACCTCCCTTTCTAAACTTCCTTATCTACGGCGCCCACTTCTGTTCGGAATAAAATATAGTCGACCGTTAGGTGGTCCCCTATTTAACCCTCATTATGCATCGAAACCAGTCTAACTGTTGTTCTGGATCCTTCTTTGGAATAACTGCTTTGCCATAAAATAACAGTGACCTAGCCGAGGCAAGGTACGGACAGAATTCCGTGGACACTTTCTTTTGAAAGCTAATATTTGACAGAATATCAAAACCAAAGAGGCGAGCGTGATCTCCTGAAAATGTTTCATTATGTGGTGCCATCGCTGGAGATAATAAAGCCTAGATACTTAAATTTCTAGACTTCTTTCATGGTCTCTCTTCTATGCTTCAATGGCAGGTCAACGGCGTCCGATAGGTATTACTCACACCTCCAGAACTTACGTAGTGGCCGGTTTCTGCAGTTGTGTTGAATACGGAAGCCTTCAGGCGAAGAATCGTAGGTCAGGTCCGTAAGAGCCAAGAAAAGGCTGGAACTGTGCAGCAACTTTAAAGCGAACATTTTGACAGTGTCCACTATGACCGCGAGTCAGACTAAATAAACTCCAGCAATCAAATGTTCAATTAACATTCAAGCAGTGTTTCAGATACGTAACTTACGGCGAACGAAACCTTTTAGGTACTACAGCGCTACAATAATTCAATCGGGTGGCATACAAAGCCTAACTGTCAGCATGTGGATGACCTCGATAGCGTACGGAGTCAATTTTTTATGCACGATAATCAGCATGTTCCTCATCAATCGTCTTGGGCGTCGTCTGCTGCTTTTATACAGTACCTTTGGTAATCATGTTCATTTCTTACTGTTTTTTTGGAATTGCATTTGTCTAACGTTTACGATTTTGTTTTTCCGAAGGACAGCTTTCAGAACAACTTGTGAGATCTAGCAAAACTCTCAGGCCAAGCCGTTTTTCTTGAGAAAAAAATATAAGCAAAAGCCATTGGCATATAGGTCTATCTCATATTCGCATGTTCTGTGATACGTTTTTAGGTGGAGGTTAACATGCACTGCCTACCGTCACAACGCATCTAACTGAGAGATACTGAAAACGTGATTATGGCTTATTAGTCACTACAGTTCGGACGAAATATTTGGAAGGACGAATGGTGAGCTTCCATGCCGGACCTCGAATCAACGGTTTTTCTCATTTTATCGAATTCACTGCTTCATCAAAAGGTCACTGAACTTATCTGTGAGTTATTGGCTAATCGTAGTTATCAAAAGTGAGTCGCATTTACTCGAATTCACAGATGGTTACCTCTAGTTCATCCGTAAAGCATATTCTACAATTAAATTGTTGGTGCTGTATGATGAGTACTGTTGGCAATGTGTCTCAATTTTTTGCACACAAATTGTATGTTTATTTTTAAAATTTTCCTCAAATGACAGTTGATATAATTTAGTATCAAGATTCTTTTAGGGGTGCTCCTGAGTTGCTTTTTAATGGGAACTGGATTTGTTCTAATATCCGCTGACTCGGCACTTGGCAAGTACAATGAGACTCTTAACTCGACCGAAACCTTGGGCTTTGATGACCGCTGTGCTGGATTAGGGTAAGTCAGGATTCAAGAGATCTGTTAGAAGCCATGATGTGGTCATTAACTTTCGTGAAATAGATGCGATGCATGCAGTTACATGGATCAATGCGGATACTGTTATATAGAAGGCGGCAATATGAACTATTTGGGAGCTTGTGTCGCCATAAGCGATCAAATCGATGAAGTAAATCGTCTGTTTTACGCACTATATGGTCGCTGTGCGCTAAATCAAACGGTCTTTGATGGAGAACAACAATTTTTGCGGACAGAACAGGATGCCGTGTTCAACATGGGATACTGTATTACCGCGTACTCTTGGCTGCCGATCTTTGCCATGGTCATCTACTTGTGCAGCTTTGCTGTTGGCAAGTTTATCTCATGCAACTATAATGCAAAACCCATCTTACTCATTTACTTGTTGTAGGCCTTGGACCGATTCCATGGATAATTAATGCGTAATTTTCTTTAACGATTGGACATTACAAATCTGTATGTACTGCTTGCAGGGAGTTTTATCCAAATTGGGCCAGAGCGGTTGGATGTTCCATATCGAGTTTCATCAATTGGTCGTTTAACATTTTGATATCATTCACGTTTCTTACCCTCAATCGGGAAATCACTAGACAAGGTACAATTATTGATTTTCCAATAATTATCTGCTTGAATAAATTTAGGTTCTTTTTTCTTGTACGGAGGCATATGCATAATTGGATATGCTTTCTTTTACGTCGTGTTCCCAGAAACAAACGGACTGCGCGTTGAAGAGGTAGAAAACGAATTCGACAGTTCCTGGGTGTTCGCTAAACCGTGGTAAGCTAATCCATAATCAAATAGATTGGAGCCATTGCCTGAAAACATAAATTGTTACTCGGGAGCGACATGATTAAAATCGATACCTTCCGATTATATGGAACTTCACCGAATGTCTGAAGCATTGCCCAGACGTTTTTGCTGCATAAATTTGCTTTTAAAGTCATTTAGCTCCCTGGAAAAAAACTAATCAGTTAGGAAGCATCTGAACTTTTGTCGCCGAGTAATTTTATGCTTCACAGGATCACTGCGTCGCGACAAGGCTTTCAATTTCATCGTTAAACGAAACTCAAGATTCGACCAACCTATTCATATTGTGGCGTTTGAATGCCTCATGTTTGTGATCATATGCTTTAGTCATTTGCATAAGCAGAACGTTTCTAGTTTCTGATGCCCAGTGTAGTCTTGGCATTGCAGGACTTTGTGCAGTGAAACACGGTTATTGCATCGTAGCATAAACAGGAACTGTTTCTCCTTGGCAAAGCAGATTTGCTTCTGCCCTCATTTTCATGTTGCATGCTGATCTTTCGGACAACGTCCGCCGTGTTCTGTTTCCAACGCCAGAAGCTCACGGATTCTGGAAAAGGTCGTTTCGACTCAACTGATTTGTCTAATGTACTTTCTCAAACTCAGCGTTTATTGAGGTCACCTGTCTTCAGAAGAGCAGAGAGTTATTCCTTATGTTGGCCAACCATTACCCTCGTTATGTGCCGAAGCTAACGGCGCTACACACAGTGAAGCCATCGGTCTTACTTCTTCACTAAAACAACTGCCTTTTTATAACACAACGGAATGGACATGGTCGAGACAAAGTAAAGACGAATTTTTTCAGAAAAGTGCTGCTGCTTTCAAAGTCATTATATTTGACAGTTTCTCTAGTGTACTGAAGAAGAATCCTATCCTAATCTTTACTGTGATTGGACGTGACATTGCTGGAGATATTTCAGCCGAATTATTTAAACTGATTGGCTCTATGT